ATGTGGGACTCGATCCCAGGACCCTGGGATCATGCCCTGAGCCGAAGGCAGACGCTTAACGACTGAGCCACCCAGGCGCCCAGTTTGTTATTTTTCTTTTGGCCAAGTGAAATTACGATTTACCTGCTTAAAAACCATTCCAAAAGATTTCTGCCCTCAAGTATGAAATCATTTAAAAAGGAGCAGGAACCTCTGATCCTTTCTTTAGAGAAAGGTGTTTTGTTTTGTTTTTTTCAATATGTTAACCTAAGGAAAATAGGTTGTCTCGAGTAAGTCCCTTCTCTCTGGATCTAGATGACCTTAACATTTTCCCAGCTCTGACGTGCTGTGATAAGGAATCCAGCGTTCCAACAATTCCCATGGTGCTAATATATTACTCCTCCGACTCTGTAGCACCTTATTTTGTTTTTTCACTAAAACAACTTGTGTTTGTAATAGACATCCCCGAAGCCCCCTTACTCAATCCAACATTTTACCAATGAAAATACTCACCATTTAAAATCTGATGCATGAATATGTGGTTTGCTAAATGAGTACTAACAAAGGAATCACAATTCCAATGTTTTGACCAAATATTAATGGAACTAGATTATGTTTTTATGTAACTTTTATATAACAGGTTGGTATTATATAGCAAATCCTAATAGAATTTGCAGGAATTTGGAAACACTTTCGTCTGATAACAATGGATAAAAATAAGTACCTGAGTAAAATAGAAGCAGAGATCTGCAGCTTTGTTCCTGAACACTGTAAAGCAAAGCCTATCTGGGATCATATTTGAATTAAAAGCTAAACTTTAATGACTAGACAAGTCCTCGATGGAAATTTGCTAAACTATTTCAGAATACTTAGAAGTATCTGGGGACAAAGTTATCACACTATGTTTAAAACATCTGTGGTAAAATTTCAAACTAAATTATTAAGCTATAAATAAACTTAGTCAATAGCTATAACAGCATCTCTTATCAACAGTTTCTGAAATTCTTCCAGCTCTCATCCAAAGCAAATAATTACTTTTATAATTGGTATTCCAATTCTACAAATAATTAAGTACAAGAAAGGGAGGGGAGGGGAGATAAAAACAAAGTACCCTTTAGGAAAAGGAGAGGAGGAAATTTAAAGGGGGCGAGAGATGATCACAAGGAAGTGACAAGTCTTCCTTTCTGTGGGGCTGTTAGGGTTCATTTTCTTTAGCAGCAGCTAAACACAGGAGAAGCAGTGCTGAACTGAGAAGGAACTGGGTGCCTTAGGTTCTGGTCTCAGCTGGGCTACTAAATAGATGTGCAATCCTAGGTAAATAAGCCTGTTGCTCAAATAATACCTGTAAACTGAGAGGGTTGGTGATCTATGACCACTGTTCATCTTTTTTGGGACATGGACCCCTTTGAGAATCTAACAAAATTATGGGCCTTTATCCTGGAAAGAAGTAAATGGCAAGGTGCATGGAATTTCAGGAGTTTAAGAGAAACCCTTGAAGCTAACTCTGAAACTTCCAGAGACTCCTTCCCTAAGTTCCTTCCCTACAAATTAAGAATTCCTGGCCTCAGGGCGCCTGGGTGGCTCAATCAGTTAAGCTTCTGACTTCGGTTCGGGTCATGATCTTGGGGTCCTGGGATCAAGCCCCACGTCGGGCTCTGTGCTTAGTCTGCTTGTCCCTCGCCCTCTCCCTCTGCCCCTCCCCCCCAGCTCATGGGCACCATGCTGTCTCTCTCAAATAAATGAATAAAATTTAAAAAAAAAATTCCTGGCCTTAAATCAATCAATCAATCAATCAATCAATCAGATCCTGGCCTACATATGGTATTTGTTCATTCCAGTACCTGTATGAGTTCTGATATGTTTCTGTAGATCTCCTGAAGTTTTGAAAGACTTAGTACAATTATCTTCCGAACACCGATATGGCTTTTCTCCTGTATGAGTTCTGACATGACTTTTTAATCCATAACCTTTAAGAAAAAAATTTAAAAGGAATTTAATTATATGAGACCCCTCTAAGCATGCCCATTGAGATTAAACAATTGAAAAATATAGTAAACAGCAAGGATATAATATTAGGCAAACACAACAGAGCAGCTATTAACAATGGACAAGAGTAAGACAGCTAAGGGCTTTCATGCTGGAAATTCCATAGTTTCATCTCTGTCTAGAAGAGGTTGTATGTGTTTCTTTTTTTAAAGTGCCCCAATCTTACTAGATGTTCACAACTCATACCCCAAAAGCTTCAGGTGGAATCGAGACATTAAATGAGGAACAGGGAATAGTGCTGGCCCTGCTGGATGTGTCCCCAGGCAGGACCCAACCCCTGCTAAGTCCCAGTTGCCCATGGTTCCCTCAGGTCTGTCCTAATGTTAAATTCTGTGTCCACTTCTAATGCTCAGCTTTTACTTTTCTGCTAAAAGAAAGCAGAGTGTGGAGTGAAACACCAAACACAGTAGGCAGAAATAGGCCTGAGGAGAAAAATGGAAACAGAGAGAGAGAGAGAATAGAGCAAGCAGCACAAGAGAAAGGTAAGGGAGAGATTGAAACACTGGTCATCATGCATCCACTAATTCAGACAAAGGCAAGGGGTCAGTTCCTGCCCCTGGCCAGTCTCTGCTTGCCCCCTAAGTGGAACAATGAAACAAAAAAAAATTCATGTTTTTACCTGTTGCAAATGCTTTCCCACAGCCTAGATGCTCACACTGATAAGGCCGGTCTCCCGTGTGTGATCTCTCATGGACCTGTCATTAAAATGCAGGCATGATTCTATTTCCTTTAGGCATCTCTCAGGTAGATGGTCTCAACAAAGACCTATTTTTCTTTTTTCCCCTCTGTTGAATTACAGTTGACCTTTGAACAACGCAGGGGTTAGGGGTGCTGATCCCCGCCTCTCGTGCAGTCGAAAACCAGCGTATAACTTCTCAACCCCCCAAAAACATAAACTACTAATAGCCTACTGTTGAGCAGTAGCCTTACCAATAGCATAAAGCTGATTATCACATTATTTCATATGTTATATGCTTTACATACTGTATTCTTACAATACAGTAAGCCACAGAAAAGAAAATGTTATTAAGAAGATAAGAGAAAATACAATTACAGTACTATAACGTATTTATTGAAAAAATTCACATAGAAGCAGACCATGCAGCTCAAACCTGTGCTTTCAAGGGTGAACTGTATTTTGTTGTTTGTATGGTTTTTTTTGAAAAACAAAAGACAACTTTCCTCAAAAACTATGGTCCAACAATTCTCAATATAGACCTAAATGCTGTATGGTAAGAAGTACTCATTTTATTTATTTATTTATATTATTATTATTTTTTTTTTAAGATTTTATTTATTTATTTGAGAGAGAGAGAATGAGAGAAAGCGAGTACATGAGAGGGGGAGGGTCAGAGGGAGAAGCAGACTCCCTGCCGAGCAGGGAGCCCGATGCGGGACTCATTCCAGGGACTCCAGGATCATGACCTGAGCCGAAGGCAGTCGCTTAACCAACTGAGCCACCCAGGCGCCCTATATTATTATTTTTTTAAAGATTTTATGTATTTATTTGACAGAGAGAGAGAGTGCACACAAGCAGGGGGAGAGGGAGAGGGAGAAGCAGGCTTCCTGAGGAGCAGGGAGCCCGATGCGGGGCTCGATCCCAGGACCTTGGGATCATGACCTGAGCCGAAGGCACACACTTAACGACTGAGCCATGCAGGTGCCCCAAGAAGTACTCATTTTAAATACAGAACAGGAGTACTGGAGGTGTGCGTTCCTCTACAGTGGTCAAAGGTGTCTGTACAGAACACAGACACAGTGAGAGCTAGGAGCAGAGCGTAGGGAGAGGCTACACAACGTAAGGTTAAGAGTTTGGAGGCTGGTCAAATAAATAAAATCTTTAAAAAATTAAAAAAAAAAAAAAAAAGAGTGTGGAGGCTGCTGCGAGAGGGGCCCTGCCCCGAGGCAAGGCTTTAACTTTAGCGGGATGGCCATGGCATGCGCCTTCTCTGAGCCTCAGATCCTCTCCGTAAAGCCGAGACGTAAGCGCATCTACCGTAGAGGGCTGCCATGGCAAACGCATAATCACGACAGTGGCCAACATTTACTGAATCTCTACCAGGCCATTCATTTCGGTACTTTCCATATACAGTATCTGCTTGTTTATTTCTCACAACCACTCTATGAGGGGGGTGCTTGTACAACAAGGAAAATGAGGCCCTAAGATGCCATGTAACATGTCAAGGTCACACACCGATGGGTAATGGGGACTGCTATTCTAAATAGGTTACATGCCTGCCTCCTGACCCACCGTAAGTTATTCACTAAGTGTTAGCTACTGAGTCATGGTATGTTGTATGTAGCTGCCATAGAAATATTTGGGCCATATACTTGGAAGACAGGGCACATTAACAGAAACTTCTGCTAGATTTCAGCAAATCACTCTTAACAGAATAATTGCACACACATTTCTCCTAAACTTACATAAATTTCACATCCGACAAAAATATATTCAAATAGAGTATCTATCCTGTGCCAGGTAGTATGCCAGACATTAGGGAGACAGAGATGAAGAACAGTCCAAGCTCTCGAAGAGGTGACAGCTTCTAAAATCTGCACAGGGTTTTACATGGCCTGTGTGTAAGTGTGAGTGTGTGTCTTTATCTTGGTAAGTGAGGGAAAATAATGGTGTTTGAATGCTATAAATATATTGTGTTGGCATTTAATGTCCTAGGTATTGTCATAATTAGATACAGCATTTCCTTTAAATATACCTTAAGATGATGAGCTGTCGTATATAATTTTCCACATCCATCATATTCACATCGAAATGCCTTCTCTCCACTCTGCTGGGATTTAGCAGTTACTCTTGTCGCATGTCCTTGTAAGACAATCTAGATGAAACAAAAAGTAGGATTTAAATTATTTATATAGAAATAAAGTAGATGAAATTACTGTTTTCAGAATAAAAAAGATAAAACTGTAATGTGGGTTTCCAGACTCAAATGATCATTTTACAAAGATTCTATCGTGTTGAGCCAGTTAGGTTATTTCTGTTCCATAGCTGAAGTCAGCAGCTGTGGAAGAAGTCAAAAGATGAGATCCACGAGGGGGCATAGCTAGAGCTCACAGATCTATTCCCATTCTAGAAAAATCAACCCAGGTAGCATCACCATTGTATGCAGGTATTCCATGACATGCTCAAGGGATATATATATATATGTATATATATATAGGACATCTGTCCTAAACAATGTAAAGAGCATTTTCAATTTCAAAAGCATTTCAAAGCAACAAAAAAGAGGGGTTTATGTCCCTGTGGTCACCTGTGGGAGATAGTACAATGCATATGATCCTAGTCTGTTCTTACATTCAGTAGATCATTTTTCTGGGACTCAACACCACAAGACTTCATACAATTGTCCTGATTTTAGAAGCTTTTAAAGATGACCACCTATTTTAGAAATTAAGATACCATAAAAATGGAAGGAAGAACGACTTTCTACTCTATGGGCCCTGTGGTGACAGAGCTGTAGGTTAGGGTGACTTGTTTCGAAGTGAAATTTGAAGGCTGGAAATGAGGAGTGAGGCGAGCAGTCCAGACAGAAGGAAGAGTATGACCAAAAGTATGGAAGTGTGCCTGGAAGAACTGGAAACTTAGTACGAGAGGATTATTATCTATATGACAGAGTAACATGAAAAAGAAAGGGAAGCTGAAGACCACATTCAGGAAGAGCTTTAGAAGCCATTCTGAAGAGTTAACCCAGACAATGAAAGCAAAGACAGGCCTTAACATTCTTCTTTATTTATTTGAGTAAACCCTACACCCAACGTGGGGCTTGAACTCACAACTCCGAGATCAAGAGTCACATGCTCTTCCAGATGCCCCAACATTTTTAAAGTAAGGGACTGACCAAGATCAGCTCTGTGTTTTAGAAAGACAACTCTGGTAATGGTATGAAACAGTGAAAGACAAAAGAGGCAAGGAACCTAAAGTCTGTGTAATCATGAATATGCAGGGAAGAAGTGGTGAAAACTAGCCTAGGACAATGACCACGGAATAGAAAGCAATAGATGATTCTGCAGATATTTTAAGGGTGAAGGTGGACAGAGTCCAAGTTTCAAAAGCTAAATGAATAGGCTAAAGCTGTAATAGGTATTTCAGGGCTGTATCGGTTATTTCAGTATAGGACATACACAGTCTTTGTCAAAAGAAAAACCTGATATATTATCATAAGGGAAATGTTAGAGAAGCTAATACCAGTGAAATACTAATCATCTTCTAAAACCATCTACAGAAAATGACTTCATTACTATTTTGCTTAATGTATGTTCTGGGAATTAAGAGAGAACCTTAGCCCTGCCATAAATTCACTGTGTGACCTTGTGCAAGTCAGTAGGGCTTGTTTGTCTGTATAAAGAACATACTGTACTAAATCAGTGATTTTTTTTCTTTTTTAAACTTTTTTCAAGGAGTTAAATTCCTTTACCAGATGAAATCTTACATAGCATTCTATTGTGCAAAACAGATAGAAGCATTCCTGCCTCTGCTGGCCCAGGCAGGTGTGGGTGGCTCAGAGCTCTGCTAGTCCCTGAGGGACCGCAAAGAAACCCTAGGATCTCCCCCGACTGAAAAATCAGAGTTTGAAAACCACCGTACAAGAAGATAATGCTAAGTCCCCTCTAGCTTTAACATTCTAGGGTTCTGAGGAGATGCAAATCCCACTGGTAAAAAAAGCGCTGAGCCTAGGACTGAATTCCAAAGTGACTTCAATAATAAAGAGGTTCACTATCATTTACTGAGGAGGTGCGTTTACGTGATGCATCGTGGTGGGTGCTTTGCCTGTGCTGTCTTGTTGGTCCTCCATGACTATCCAGTGAATTAAATATTTCCTATGATTTACAAATAGGAAAAATGAGGCTCAAGGCAGTTAAGTAATGTCACTTGCCCAAGGTCAAAGGCTGGGAAGTAGGACTTGAAGCAGATTAGCTCTAGAGCTCACGCTAGTCACCCACCAGGCTTTAGGGTGCGGCAGAGCGGTAACTACCCAGCAGAGTTTCTGTAGCTGCCGAGTGAGAGCTGACAGGGTTGAGGAAAACCGGTGATTTTACTGCCTAGTTCAGTACTTGAAATTCCATTTACTGTAAAGGTCTGATGCACACAGCATATAGAACTTTTGTTATCTGATGTGCGTAAACCTGTATATTAGGATGTAATTTATACTCTTGGGAAAGGATAAAATGCAAGCTACCTGAAGAATTTTTAAAAGTAGGGCACCTGGGTGGCTCAGTTGGTTAGGCGACTGTCTTCGGCACAGGTCATGATCCTGGAGTCCCGGGATCGAGTCCCGCATCGGGCTCCCCGCTCAGCGGGGAGTCTGCTTCTCCCTCTGACCCTCCCCCCTCTCATGTGCTCTCTCTCTCAAATAAATAAATAAAATCTTTAAAAAAAAAAAAAGAATTTTTAAAAGTATGTTCTCTTTCAAGAAAGGAATTAATCAAAGAAGTGTGGCAACAGAGGGACCTTGAGGGAACATGGGACACATCAGTATTGCCAGGGAGATTTAAAAAACAAAGGGGCGCCTGGCTGACTCAGTTGGTAGAGCATGTGACTCTTGATCTCAGGGTCATGAGTTCGAACCCCACACTGGGCGTGGAGCCTACTTAAACAAACAAACAAACAAAAATCCTCCAGAGATATTCTAACAATGATTATCATTGGGTAGTGAGTGGTCCTTCACTTTTTATTTTTACCTCTCTATACCATTTGGATTTTTTTTAAGGGTACAATTAGATAAGTTCTTTTTTAATCTAATTTTTTTTTTAAAGATTTTTATTTATTTATTTGACAGAGAGAGACACAGTGAGAGAAGGAACACAAGCAGGGGGAGTGGGAGAGGGAGAAGCAGGCTCCCCGCTGAGCAGGGAGCCTGATGCGGGGCTCGATCCCAGGACCCTGGGACCACGACCTGAGCTGAAGGCAGACGCCCAATGACTGAGCCACCCAGGCGCCCCTAATCTAATTTTTTTTACTTGAGTATAGTTGACACACAATGTTGTATTAGTTTTGGGTCTACAGCATAGTGGTTCAGCGTCTCTGTGCGATATGCCACCCTCACCACAGTGTGGCTAGCGCCTGTCACCATGCAACACTATTACAAGACCACTGATGAGATTCCTGGGCTGTGCCTTTTATCCCCTCAATGTATTCGTTCCCTAACTGGAAGCCTGTATCTCCCCCTCCCCTTAGCCCATTCTGCCCATCCCCCCACACCCCTTCTCCTCTGGTAACCACTGTTTTGTTCTCTGCATTTATAGGTCTGATTCTGCTTTTTGTTTGTTAATTTATTTGTTTTATTTTTTAGATTCCACATATAAATGAAACCATATGGTATTTGTCTTTCTCTGACTTGTTTCAATTGGCATACCCTCTAGGTCCATCCAAGTTGTCACCAATGGCAAGATCTCATTTTTTTTTATGGCTGCAAAATACTCCATTTTATATATACCATAATTTCTTTATCTATTCCACAATCAACGGACACTTGGGCTGCTTCCGTATCTTCACTATTGTATGTAATGCTGTAATAAAGATAGGAGTGCATATATCTTTTTGAATTAGTATTTTCAGGTCCTCTACCCATTTTAATCCAATTATTTGTTTTTCTGGTGTTGTGGTTTTTTTTAATGTATATATTTTGGATATTAACTCCTTATTAGATATATCATTTGCAAATATCTTCTCCCATTCAGTAGGTTGCTTTTTTGTTTTATTGATGGTTTCCTTTGCTGTGCAAAAGCTTTTTATGTTAACGTAGTCCCAACAGTTAATTTTTGTTTCTGTTTCCCTTGCCTTGCCTTAGGAGACATGTCTACAAAAAATGTTGCTATAGCCAATGTCAGAGAAATTACTGCCTTTGTTCTCCTCTAGGGGTTTTATGGTTTCAGGTCTCACATTTAGGTCTTTAATCCATTTTGAGTTTATTTTTGTGTATGGTGTAAGAAAGTGGTCCAGCCACAGCAGTCAGAGAAGCAAAGAAATAAAAGACATCTATATCAGGAAGAAATAAGTTAAACTGTTACTATTTGCAGATGACATGATACTATACATAGAAAACCCTAAAGATTCCACCAAAAAACTATTAGAATAAATGAATTCAGTAAAGTAGGAAGACAGAAAATTAATACACAGAAATTGGTTGTATTCCTATACACTAACAATGAAATAGCAGAAAGAGAAATTAAGAAAACAGGTACATTACCATTGTACCAGGAAGAATAAAATACCTAGGAATAAACTTAACCAAGGAGGTGAAGACCTGTACTCTGAAAACTATAAAACATTAATGAAAGAATTTGATGATCAGACAACACATGGATTTTCTAAAAGTAAACATGATTATCTTAAAAAGGAAAGTGTACAGTAGCGATCTATATAGTAAGATAATTAGTCATTTTGGGTTTTTTCAATGTATTTCTTTGAAATTATTTAAAAGAAAAAAACCCTACTAAAAATATTTTTTGAAAAAATCCTGGGTTCCATCTCAGACCTACTGATCAAATCTCGGAAAACTGATCTTAGTCATAAGTTTTTGTTTTTGTTTTTTTAAAGATTTTATTTATTTGAGAGAGAGAGAGACAGAGATAGCAAGAGACAGCAGGAACTGGGAGGAGAGGGAGAGAAGCAGGCTTCCTGCCCAGCAGGGAACTGGACATGGGGCTCGATCCCAGGACTCCAGGATCATGACCTGAGCTGAAGGCAGATGCTTAACCAACTGAGCCACCCAGGCGCCCCTGTTTTTTTTTGTTTTTTAATATTTATTTAGTTTAGAGAGAGAGAAAGTGTGAGTAGGGGGAGTGGCAAAGAAGGAGACGAGAGGCAGGCTCTCTGCTG